AATTAAATATTATGAACCAGGTCTGGCCCAATTGGGCCAAACCCGGCCCAATGACTTAATCCATCATCTTCTATTCTTCTTTGTCTAAAAAAAACTACAGCAGCGTACAGAAGCAGCCCTGACCAAAATAATTATACAATATAATTTTCTTTTTCTTTTTGTTTTTAATACTTAATGCGGAAAAAGAAAAAAAAAAAACCCAAATTTCTAGCAATCCAGATAATTTAATTGCGAACTCAAGAATATTCACATAATCTTAATTATATAACAAAGTATATAAAATATACAAATATTTAAGCAATTAAAAAAAAACTAGGCAGAGATTATTTATGGCGACTGATACCAACTGTTAGACTAAAATATCACATGCATCACTATAATATGTGATAATAGGATCGACTAACCTCTAGCCATAGTTCTTGATACGGTTGAGCGATCCGGACTGCTGCAGAGATAACGAGTATTTTGTCTCTCACTTTACTCAACTCTCTCTAGATGGTGTATGAGGTATGTAGTGTGAGCAGTGAGAGGATTAGTGACCTTATATAACCACTGGTCATCATCGTGGTTGATTGTCTTTAGGTCTCCTAAACCCTAACTAGACTCCTAATCATAATGGTAGTCTAGCTATTAGGTTATTAGTGTTGCACCACATATCAAATACTGAATATTACCATAACTTATCCTAATGTTATAATAATAGTAAGGGATAAACGTTACATATGTCCCAAATACGTACTGTGTACTAGTACTAAAACCCCACTAGTTTGCAATTGGTAGGTCTGCTTCATGATCCCAAACAGTATGTTAAAAAAATTGAAATAGTCATCCATATTAGGGTTCTAATAACAAGTGCATGCATGTCCAGAACGCAGATTACCAAAAACACAAAAAATGAAGGTTCTGTACTGAACTTGGCCATAGCATCTGGCATTCAAATTACAGTCTCCATCCCTTTGAGCAAAACGTGTTAACTTGGACGAGAAGTCGAGAACTGCATATGCATCGATCTATGAGTTTACACAACATAACATACTGCCCTGCAGTCTCACTTTGCCTGATAATTTTCACCACTTGCCCACGCTTTAGCCCATATATAATATCTCGCCACAGAGTCTGTCAACTGGATACGGCAGGCGTAGCTGTTCCGCCAGCCACAGTATATAAAAAGTGAGAGTGATGCAGAAGAAACTATAAAGAAATGTAAAATTATCACAAAAAAAACTAACCTGTGTTTCTTTCATAGTGTATCTCTCGATTAAGGTCTTCTTTTCCTCGGTCGTAAGCAGCTTGTGCTTGGGAACAAGAACGTGCTTTGTTATGTTGACCAATACTTCAGCCTCCTGCAAGGTTGTGTTAGAGATAAGAACAAAGGTATACTTTATTGACTGAAACTTAAGAAAAAGAACAGGAAGTCACAAGACTTCCCCAACAAGAGTTTTAGGCTCTTGCCCCACAAGAGTTTTAGGCTCTTGCCTAGCTACTAAAGCTTAAAGACTATGGAAGATTATTGGATGATTTACTCTCATCTAGAGATTCTAATTTATAGTGCTAGGAAATAAATAATTATAGAAAGGAGATGATTGTGGAGATGATTGTTGAGATGATTATGCCTCTATTTATTTTTGTCAAATCCCTTGAGCTAAGCCTTCCTTGTATATTCTGATTTCCCTGATTTGCATCCTTCCTTTTTCCTGAGTAAACCATCTCTTATTTTGGGTGCGTATCATTGCCACCCACCAAAGAAACAGCCTTGTCCCCAAGGCTAGATTGGAAAGACTGCCCTATATTGTCCGGTGTCGATTTGGTCAGTTACACCAGGCTCGTCGCTCATTTCGTCCTCGTCATCCTCTGCTGCAATTAGAGTTTGCAAGGATTTATCCGGGCATACATGAAGCGGACTGTACGGTTGCTGACAACGGAAACAAAGTCCTTTGGCGCGCATGTCTAGATACTCTTTGTTAGAATAATGTCGTGCCGGAGCTCGTGATGTTGATGTGCTGGAATTGCGTACTGAAGACTGCATAGCAGGAAACGCAGGTTGTGTTTGGGAGGAGAAGGAAGATGTTTGATTGCTGCTAGAGAATTGAGATCAGACTGGGTTGGAATGTGTTTGGGCTGTGAATAATTCAAAACAGAATTGGTTTGGGAATTCTTCCCATGCCCATTAGACCAAGTAGACCCACTATGTGAATGAATTATCTGGAACGCTGCATTTTAGTCTTGCAGACTGCGTCCAAGGAGCCGGCCTGTGGAGAGAAATTCAATTTCTCGTTCTGCCACGCGAGCGACACGCATCGCTGTTCGGAGATCTGTCACATCATTCGGTCGGAGCCGCACCCGAATTGCAGGTTTTAAGCCATTGAGAAAAGGCCTTAATTGAATGTGAGGAGCAAGTCCATAAATTTGGGCAATGCGAGCTCGAAACGCAGCAATGAATTCATCCACCAAGCCCGTTTGACGAAGAGCGGCAAGCTGTTCAAACGGTGGCCCAGGCAATTCGTCGCCAAATTCTTCCAAAAGGTCATGTGTGAATTGAGTCCAAGTAAGAGTGGGTTGTTGTTGTTGTAGCCATCGGAGCCAATGTAGAGCTGCCCCCTCCATACTAACGAAAGCTGTTGGGACCTTCAAATCCTCTCGGGTGTGATGAATGGCAAAGTACTGCTCTACTCTAGCTAACCACCCAATTGGATCGGTGCCTTCAAATGTAGGGAGTTCTGTTATTCCAATGGGCAGCGAGGTGTTGTCCGGCTAAACATGTTCTGGGAGAGGTTGAATTCGGCGTTGGGATGGAAGTTAATGAAGCACTGGCATTGTTGTGCCCTCCGCCTTGGAAGGAGAGAGCGATGAGATCAGACATCCTAGCAACAGAAGCTTCTACGGCTGCAAATCAATCGGTCAATGTAGTGAATTCAGTACGCAGTGCATCTTGGTTCTTCTCTAACGTCTCTATGCGGGAATCACGTGTGTTCGCCATTCAACGGCAGGTCGGACCAATTTGTTAGAGATAAGAACAAAGGTATGCTTTATTGACTGAAACTTAAGAAAAAACACAGTAAGTCACAAGACTTTCCCCAACAAAAGTTTTAGGCTCTTGCCCCACAAGAGTTTTAGGTTCTTGCCTAGCTACTAAAGCTTAAAGACTATGGAAGATTATTGGATGATTTACTCTCATCTAGAGATTCTAATTTATAGTGCTAGGAAATAAATAATTATAAAAAGGAGATGATTGCTGAGATGATTATGCCTCTATTTATTTTTGTCAAATCCCTTGAGCTAAGCCTTGTATATTCTGATTTGCCTGATTTGCATCCTTCCTTTTTCCTGAGTAAACCATCTCTTATTTTGGGTGCGTTTTAGGTTGCAGCAATTAAAGATCAGTCTGGCTGGACTATACTTCACTGTGTTTCAGTCTTCTTGATAATACAGATTATTATGCCTACAACTATTCAGCTTCATTCAAGAATGCCCACTTGAATTATAAAATAGAGGTTACTGTAAAAGATATTCACCAAATTCCCAAAAGAAATAGCTAACTTGTCTTCCATGGAATACAAGAATTTTGTTAAATAAAGCATCCATTTCAATCGAGATTCATGCAAACATTTCAATCAACTTTTCCTTCTTTCTTTTGTTTTCTGTACTGTGTAGTGTGGTGGGCATAAATTGATATGTTCACGAGTTATACTTCTCGTTATGGGACTATGAGAGATAGAGTTTGAACGATTGGTTCTGTTCAGAAGGGAAAACAGAATGAGACTAAAATGGGGCATTACAAATAAGTACCTTCTCAACTATGACTCTTCTCTTTATGAAACACTCCAGGACTCTTTTTGCAAGTGTATCACATCTAAATATACTATCCTACTTCCAAAATTTGTAATCAAGTGTGCAAGAGAGGTTTATAATTTGATAGAGTATGAAAAGAAAATAATGCAGGACCACTAACACCATACATAGAGTATGAAACAGTAACTCAATTTTTTAATGCCATATTATTTTTGTACATCATGGAGGATGAGATTGAAGCCCATGCATACTAAATATATTCGGTTGAGATTAGGCATTTACTCTTAGCTTCCTTCCTTAGGTAATCTATTCACCTTTTTGTTGATGTACCTGACAGTAGCCAACAGGAGCATATGCAATCAGTAAACGCCTCAAGGCATTTCTTCCATTCTTGTCGAGAGCAGGATGGCCAGGAAATGTTCGGGGCAAATCCTGATTGTGAGGTGAAGATAAAGGATCAGAATAGCATTAATGCAGCAGCAAGATAGACAATAGAATGTACTGAATATATGATGCAATTATACTGACCTTATCAATCTGTACATTCATCTGCACTTAACTCCTTTGTACTGTCTGTCTCCTCTAATTCCATGCTTCTATGATCAGAATTATTGCCAGATTTAGTTTCTCTTGATAATAATTTTCCACTCAACGTGCTCTGACACCAACAAAAGCTTGCCAAAGCTGTAATTGCAATTTCAAAGACTAGATCAATGAAGCATATGTATAATAAAGAAGGTAAAGAAGAAATATATATACCTCTCCTCTGAGAGCCATTGGCACCCCGCCTTGAACAAGACACTCCATTCTTCTTTCCAGGGAGGTAAAGACTCTCATTCAAAGGCACATCGTGTAAGGAATCTCATCTCTCCAAATCATAATACTCATCCTCTGAGTCCTCTCCTTTTATCCGTTTAGCTTCTTCAGTAGGAGTACTAGAATATTGCTCTCTTTTCACTGCACCAACCTTGTTTTTGACATGCGTGCTCATCATATCTTCAATGGCTCCAAGTGATGGCCTTATATCAGACCATATTTGGACTTGATGAATTTTATCATTGGCTGATGTTGGCAACTCTTTAATCTCTGTAGCATTTTCAGCAAGACCATCACAGACTTCAACTCCATACCGAGAACTGGAATCCAGTTCCCAGTTGATTGGCTCATCAGGCAGGTCTTTGAAATTGTTAACTGCAGATGATCCATTTATGGGAAATTGAGTGGATTCTGCTTGCCGTTCCAGAAAGTCTTTCCACCTATCAGACCTCTCCTCCTCCTCTTCCTAAGAGCATTATCAAACCAGCATTGAGGAGATAAACACAGTTTTTTTTTTACCAGATTAGTACTTCAATGTTCCAATTAAAAAAAAAAAAAAAAAAAAAAAAAAAAAAAAAAAAAAAACCATTTACTTTCATGATTTAATCTGTCCATCCTTTTATACTCTTTAAATGGAGAAACGGGAATAAGAGCTTTAAAAAAAAAAAAAAAAAAAAAAAAAAAAAAAAAAAAAGGAATAAGAGCTTAAAACCTTGTAGATATTAGCATATTCACGATATCTCTGTACATGGCTGAGGCCTTACTGCAAACCCGTAAGCATCTCTGTACACATTAACCTCTATCAGTAAAGCGAGAGAATAAATAATCAAAATGAAAACTTTTGTCCAAAGATTCGTCTTTTCAAGCAGAAAACCCAAGAAAATCAGTGTCGGTGCAAGTCCAACTCAGTAAAACCTCAGCACCCCACTGCATTCTACATTCACTCACAGCCAGTTTACCACAAGTTGAACCAATACATATTTGGAAAGGTTAAGGAAAGTAAACAAGAAAGAAACTTTAAAGCAAAATCATTAACTAATATGTAATAAAGGAAAGAAAAATCTATGTTTTTTCTTAGCATTTAGTTCTCTAGTGTAAAATCTAGACGCTCAGGTCAGGAATCAAGGATCCAAGCGAGGGAAAGTAATGGGAGAACAAAGTAGAAATTGCAGGTGGAGTGGATATTGATATAGTACCTGTTCTGATCAAAGGAAATGAGCTGAGGGGTCACCGCTGAAACTGAATCCTTGGGGTTCATTGTCGGAGCACGGTCGGAATCCAGCAAACAACAGTGTAAAGATAAGGATTTCCGACTTTTTACTGTATTTTTCAATATATCCCTATATATTTTCCGACATAAAACATGGTCGCTGTTTTGAGTTAGACCTAAGGACGAAAATGGAGCGACTTAATAAGTGTGAAGTTGTAAAGATTTTTTTCTTTCGTTTTCACCCTCACCCTGTGTAACCAGTGACTGCTACACTCGATCCGGAAGAAGATGGACTGTCGGGGCCACGGGGGACCCAAATCAGAATGCCAAAATTACCTGACACGCCTAGCCTGCCTTTACAAAAATAATACGGATCGGAGTAACTTTTTATTTTTTTAAAGTTGAATTTTAACCTTATGACTTATGAGTTTCAAAAAAAACCTTATGACTTATGAGAATCCAACCACATCTGGTTAGAGCAACCTCAAGGATGCTCTCAATAGAGAATAGCTATAGTTTGTTTCAGGTTTTTGATATGCCAATTAGGAAAGAGATATGCGAGAAAGAAAAAAAAAAAAAAAAACAAAAAACAAAATACAAACTGATCTGACAAAAATTATTTATAAAAAAAAATATTAATATTAGCGCCTAGAACGACATGTGCTATGCATGAAAGCACATTGTGCTGCCTGTTGCTTTGCCAGCCACTAGAATAAAAGAGATTGCATCTCGATGCAACTTTACCGGGCCTAAAGCAACAAGAATGTGGAAGTGCCATTATTGTTTTGGTCCTGGAAATTCTATCCAGGTCAGCCTCCTCAAGTAGAGAACCGCATAATTTACCATCATTAACATGGCAACAAAAATATAGCATGACATATAACAATCTTAAAAAGCTTAAATAAAAATATATTATAGTCCATCAAACATTTCCCAGCAAAAGTGCAATAATTCAAAAGATTTCCGCTTTCCTGATACCATTGGGGAAACAATTTCCAGTCTCAAATAAATTCAACAAATGAGTTTTCTTAAATTTCAGGAAAAATAAAAGAAATTAATATGTACCTATGCTCCTTTCTCCCATTTCAGTAAATCACCGAGTGTAGCCAACAAGCAGCATATCAAGTTTACCTTGCTTTGGAGATACTTTTTCTCCTCTTGATGAGTCCATACATTAAAGTGATATAGATAGACTTTGGTATGAAAACACCCTTCTGAGTAAGTTCTACAAAGATATGCATTGCATCCTTATATCTCCCTTGATCACAAAGCTCATTAATCTCTTCTGACTGACCAATAGAGCTCATGTCCTGTTCCACTGAAGACTCACCCCCGATGTCTTCTTCCCCCTTATTCATACCAATGGACTCACTAGATGATATTCTCATCTCAATCATTTTTGAAGTGAACTCTTCTACTTCCCTAATCCTTCCAACGTTAGTAAGTGCTTCAACAATGGAATTGTAAGTGTAACTATCTGGCCCTAGTTTCTTCAATTCCATTTCAGCAGCAAGTCCTAGAGCATCCTCTAGCCTTCCATTCTTACATAAGGCTGTTATCAGCGTATTGTAGGTTACTGAATCAAGCTGTTTCCCTTTATCAATCCATGTATTGAAGAGATTAATGGCTTTTTCAATCATTCCTTCCCTGCAAAGTCCACGAAGAAGAATGTTGCATGTATAGATATCAGGTTTGACTGAATTCTCAACCATTTTGTTGTGAAATTGAAATGCTTTCCTAACATTCCCCTCCCAGCAGTATCCATGAATAATCGTGTTGTATGTTATCTCATCAGGAATTAACCCATTCTCCAAAAGTTCATTGAACTTAGTTATAGCTTGCTCAGTTTTGCCTGATTTACAGAGCCCTCCAATTAGAGAATTATATGTGACAATACTAGGAATGATCTCTTTCGCTTTCATCTCACCCCAAAGCTTAAGAGCTCCGTCTACATTTCCATCCTTGAAGTAGCCAACAATCAGACTGCCATAGCTTACTTCATCAACAATATAGCCACGTTTAGTGGCACTAGTCAGCAACTCATAAGCCTTACTATGATTCTTTTCCTGACAAACTGTGTTCAGGACTGTGTTTAGTGTTACAGTTTCCATTTTCAATCCTTTTTCTCCAATTGTGTTGATTATTTTAAATGCCTCAACAAGATTTCTCCTTTTAGAAAACCCACTAATCAAAGTATTGTATGAAACACAGTCAGGACAATATCCATTCTCCTCCATCTTCCGAACAGTATCGGTAGCATCATTCATCCTCCCTTCCTTGCAATACCATTTGATCAATATGTTATAAGTAACCTCATTAGGTCTCAAACCATTTTCACCCATTTCATCAAGTAAGCTAAAGGCCTCTGAACTCATTTCACTATCAAAACACCCATTTATCAATGTATTATAAGTTACCACATCAGGTAACAACTTCAAGCCTTTCATTTCATCCCGAAGCCTAAAAGCCTCGTCAATCTTTCCTGCATTACAAAGCCCATTAATCAACATGTTATAGGTCCAAACATCAGGCAGGATATTGCTACCTGTCATAAGCTCAATAACCTGGGCAGCATCCTTCAACAACCCAATTCTACAATACCCGCTCACCAAAATGTTGTAAGTGTTCTTATTTGGAAGAAGCCCCTTGTTCTTCATATTCAGTAGCAATTCACGAATCTCTTTTAATCTACCCTTCTTGCTCAATCCGTCCAAAACAGTATTATAGCTTACATTATCTGGTCTACACCCAAATTCCTCCATCTTATACAACAATTTAATTGCATCATTAAACTTGTTCTTTAAACAATGCCCATTAATCAAAATGTTATAACTCATAGTATTTGGAGCTAAACCAAGCTTAAGTGCATCGTCCAGCAATTCTTTACAGAAATGTACAGAGTGGGCAGAAGGGTACTTTACCAGCGCAATGAGGAGAGTGTTGAGAGTAAGCAGGTTGGGGGCCAGACCATGACGCCTCATTTTCTTGAAAACCTGCAGAGCGAGGTGAGGGCGTCGGCACTGGCAGTAAGCACCGATGGCAGTGTCCAATAGGGCCTTGGGGGGCTTCGGAAGCGGCGGAGATGGGCGGAGAAGGTGGCGGTGGAGCTCATTCTTGGGTTGATCGGAAGGAATGAAGTTAACAAGGAGATACTTGGCGTCAGAGAATTTGTTTTTGGAGAGGAGGGATGAGAGGAGATGGAGAAGCGATGGGAGAGGGTTAGCGGAGAAGTGATGGGAGAGGGTTAGCGGAGAAGGAGGGGACATTGGATTGGGCCCACCTATAAATTTCACAAATTTATGAATTTCATTGCAGTAATGAGTAAAAATTAATGCTTTAGCACTATATAATCATACTGCTCAACTACAAATAAAGGGAAATGCCAATGAAAGCTTGCATCTTTATAATACATCTTAACAAAAATTCTTTCAATCAGTAACTGTAAGAGTGCTGAATTTTAATTGATTAAGATATTCAAACAAATTACAGAACTTTGAGACAAAATGCAAAGCAGAAATAGGCAAGTCATAATTCACTGTAATTAATTAACAACTCTACAAGTATTATAGGCAATTAGGCATAGTCAGCCATCTCTCCATGACTCCATTTTGCGGGAAATTTCAGAAACTAACAATTAATTTTGACAAACCAACATACACTGCATACTTTACTAAAACTAACAATTAATGATAGCAGATTGGCAGTAAGCCAATTTAATTAATTTTCAAGCCAGTAACAACTTGCAAAATCAAGCAAAATCAAGTAAGCCAATTCCTATGCAGCTATGCAAATTCAATGGCTATTAGGATTTAGGGCAAAATTAGATGAACATGAGCAAAATTATACAAACAAATTGAAGTATTTGAACATTTGAACTGACTACTGAGAAGGGATCGGAGATTCGAAGTAAAACCTGGCAGCGGAGTCGTCCCAACACGGCGGTGGCCGGTAGCGCTGGTGGTGGCGTCGGAACTCACGGAGGCTGACTGGCTGAGAGAAGACGGAACTTGCGGTGGGCGGTGGGCGGTGGCGTGACTGGCGTCGGTCGTCGGCGCTTCAGCTCTCGGCCTCTCGCGGAATCGACGGAAGATGCTTCACCAGTTCACCGCTTCAGCTCTCGCCAGTCGCGGTCTCAGGTCTGGCCTCTTCACGCATGACGCATCACTTTAAAACTAATGAAATTAAAAAAAAATATATATATATATATATTATATATATAACATCCCAAAACGACGTCGTTTTAGGGCTGAATGATTTTGGCCAGTGAGAGCAGCAGGTCCTATGAGCCACTTCAAAAAAATTCCTATGAGCCATATTAAGTTCATATTATAGCTAGTTATGCCACATTATACAAGTCAAAGTAATAAACATCAAAGGAATGATACAAAGTGTTTCTACTGTCCTAAAGTTTCCCAATGACATTATATAAGAAGCAATTTCTAATGATTTTTTTTATTCAATCGTCTTATTTTGTTTGAATATTAAAAGTCTAAATCAAAATTTTCACTCCCCATTCTTAAGTATTCATATCATTAGCTTGTGATTAATTGCCACCAAAATTTTCTAATCTCTCATTGCTTGCTTATGGTTGTTGGAAGTCCTAATCTATTAGCTAACACTTGCAAATTCATTGCTCAGAAATATAATGATATTATTCTCAATATATATATATATATATAATGATATGATTTATACATTTGTGATTGATCAAACCTCCTCACCAAAAATCATACTTACAAAAAGTAATTAAAAATTATTTTAAATTGATATTTGCGCTGATATTCTGTTTATTAGTTGATTAGTTAATACAAATTTAATTTATTGAGCCCGGTCAAACCGCGACATAAGTGTGATTGTGATTTCCCCAAATGAAAAGTCATAGCTTCACAGGTTCAAAAATTAAGTTCACAACTAAGCATATATGTGAGCAATATATCATTGAATATCCAAACATCTATTAAATATAATATTATGCCGAAATCGAAACTAACCTATAAAATTAACTCAAATAAATATAGCATAACATTAATTAATCTGCACATAGAAACAACTAAAATTGGCTCAAAAGGATTGCAATCCGAGCGACCAGATCATATCGGAATAATACTCATATACCAATAAGGCAATAATGAAGAGGAATAATGATATTGAAGTAAATGACTTTGGAGTAGGTGGAGAAGAAAAAGAAGCAAAAGAAGAAAAAATTGAAGGAATAAAGTGTCGGCAAAATAGAGAAAGAAAGAAGGGGAAATGGAAAATAAAGTAAATGTATCAACCAAGCATGTGGATTTTCCTGCCAACTTCTTCCTCACATCTCTCTCTCTGTGCTTTCTCTCTTTCTCTCTTAGCATGAAAATCATGAAGAAATCAAATAAAAATGGTGGATGAAGTCATTTGACAACCTCATCGCAATCCGCTGCAATGGAAACTCTCACCACAGCTGCGTCGCATCCACCGCACACGGTTTGAGCTTCGACGAGTAGGAGAACCAGCATTCGTAAAAATTGGACTGATAAGCAATCATGAAGGGGATTCAGCCGTGTGGTGGATGGAGTCCTGTTGCAGCAATGGGAGGAAGAACATTGTCGATTTTTATGGCTCCCAAGCTAGAGAAAAGGTTCGCCAAGAAGAAGGCTACCTCTGACAAGATTGAGTGTGATTGGAGAAATGAAGGCAAGAGGAAAGAGAGAGGAAGAAGACAAAAAGTAATGGCAAATTTGTTATTTCGGGCAACTTAAAAATAAAAATTAAAAGTAAAAATTAGATAAAAAAATTTGTGCCACAAGATTTTAGATCAATGGTTAAATTGGAGTGCCATTTTTCAAGAGTAAATGGCAATTCCCAAATATAAGTATAGGGAGATAGCTTGTAAGTTTGGTGGTGTATAGCCTATAGGACGAAGGGATTAGAGGAGCGTACCTAATTGACCACAATTTCTGACTATCCAAATTCGATTCCTTCTCAGTTCTGATCTCCTATATATCCACCATTCAGGATCTCATGGGATTTACCCACAATTAACTCAAACAATTTTTTACTTCCAACCCATCACTCCATCCACCAAAGTAAACATATCTCATATATGCAAAGTACATTATTTTTATTTTTTATACTATCGAATGATATAAATTCAACATATTAAAAATGTATCCTGTATTTATGATCCGTGGTTTTCAATGTGGGCCAAACTTTCACTCTTGACTTAATTTTTTTGAGAGTTAGGATTTTGTAAAGTTTTGGTAGGCATGCATTTGGTGCTCTCAAGTTCGCTGGCGAAAAGAGCACAGAATATGGCTACAACGGACGTCGTCTCCACCTTGAGTGCTTATTAATAAATAATTAAATACATCTTTTTTTTGTGACGAGAAAAATTTGCCACCGCCCACCACCACCCTAGAGTGTGTATTAGGCGTAATTAAGTAAACATCACTCCTATATAATATTTTATAAACCACAAAAGATGTAAATCACACTAGAAATTAAAAGACTCTATGCAACTGACTTGACGGAAAGAGTATTACCAAGAAATAAAATCATCATTTTCACATTAAATAGGTATTATATATTTATATCTCATGAAATATGACAATATAATCCAATCGACTCAATTACATACCATTCAAAATACTTCTTCATTCTAAATGTATTCTCACAATAAATACTTCTTTTAATATACTTGAACTGCTAAAGCATTACATCAAATTATAAGGTTTGAATCATCCTTAAATGCACCGACATGAATTTAAGGTTCCAAATCAATATAATTAATGCACATTTTTTACCACTCCTAACTCCTAAGTCTCATTACCATATCACGTGTTGTCTTAGGTGTTAGACTAAAATTATATGTGTCGCATGTACCAGTAGGCTTGTTTTCCACGTGACTGCATTACGCAAATAGGTTAAGATGTTTGAATATTACAAACCAAATTTTCAGATATACTATACAACGTTAGAGAAGACCACGACCAAACAATATGAACTTCACGTGTTTTTTAAAAGATAAAAGAGATAGATTCATTAATAATCAACCAACAACGAAATGGAAAAGCAGGGTATTTATAGTATTGAAAATACCCGTCCCTCCCCTCTCAGCCATTCATGCTCCACGATTTCGAGTAAAATGCTAACCCCACCACAACACGCGTGCAAACTGAGCCGGGGCGGGCGGCAGCGGCGTGCACGTGTGGGATTCCCTTTCCTTCTCTCCACGATTTCGAGTAAAATGCTAACCCCACCACAACACGCGTGCAAACTGAGCCGGGGCGGGCGGCAGCGGCGTGCACGTGTGGGATTCCCTTTCCTTCTCTCTCTATAATAGTTTAAGCCTTCCAAATGGGTTGGTGTTAAAAAGGTGGGAATTAGTCCCTTATCCTTCCAATGTGGGACAAGAGTGTCTTCCTTCTACACACTTTAAACCACCATCTTGAATGTAATCTCCAACAGCAATCTTACAACATTACTTAATAATCAAACCAGCGTACCAAACAATATGAACTTCACGTGTTTAATAAGCCTCAAATTAAAATCATATGATATCCACACAAATTTTCCTTCTACATGTGATAACGCATCACCTATACAGCTAGCCCAGTCCTGATGCAAAGTCTCTTTTACTCAATTGAGCGTAGCATGTCATGTTAGATAGATATATATTTAGAGGTGGTAGAAATTATAGTCAAGCTAGCTAGCTCAAATAATGGAGGGGATATATATGATAAAATTCTTCAACAACTTTTGCTAGCTAAAACTCCTCTAAGCTACAACCATGGTATGTTTGTTTTCTTCTCTCAAAAAGTTGAATCCCTAATCCCAAGGGCCCCCCACACCCCGACCCAATGGAGTTTTTGTTTTATGAACTTATGAAACATGGGCCAAATTTTGTATCTTTTTGTTGAAATTATCAAAATTTAATTTCTCTGAGTTATACGTGGCCGATAGAGGAAACACTCATACATTGGAATAATTTTAGATACGAACGGTTCAAATATAAAACACATTATTAGTTGGACTTTTGTTTAAGTTCAAAACACATGAAACTGGGAATGTCGTTATAATTTTGAAATTAAAATTACTTTAGGATGAGTTTTTTCCTAAAATGGTCCCTCGACTATTGCTTATTCTCAATTTTGCATTTCGACTTTTAATTGCACCTAATGTGGTCCCTTGGCTTTTAAAAACTCCCCCAAATTGATTCTCCGTTAGAAATTCTGTCTATTGAGTGTTACAATGAAGGACATTTTCGTCCATTTACCTATTATATGCCTAATATACTCAGGAAAATAGTCAAGGGACCATTTTGGGAATAGTCGAGGGATCATTTTGAGAAAAACTCATTTATTTATTTCATTTTTGTTTATTTTCATTTTTGTAAGACTATCAAATTAGAGTTTCTATACATTTTTTTTTTTTACAAATATAAATAGTTACAATCCACAATCAAACCTCAAAATTTTAAACTTTCTATACAAATTTGTTCCTTCTGTCTAAACATACAAACTTTTCCTCTAATCCTATCAAGTTTTACAATAAGTTCTGTAAATTTCAAAAATATAATACTCACATACTTTTTATGTTCACACACACACACACACACTAAAACTTTAATAGACAATCAATCACTATGTATCATATTAAATATTATTTTTACCATTGAAAATAACATTACTATTTTTATCAGTTTAGACACCCAAAATGTACTCTTCACTTCTCGGTCACTATGCCCTTTGAAAATAAAATTATTATTTTTACAATCAATCGCTATGCTCTGGCACTTCTTCGAACTGAGAAGTACGCGTCACTTCTCGGTCAATGACAAAATCTTAGAAAATATTTTTGGAAAGTTGGCTTAACTTAGCCTGTAAGGCCATTAGTTTCATTCCAAAGTTAGTAAAAACCATAGCTACCATTTTCAAATGCATATCTACCCAGAAGTACCCCATGCTAAAGAGAGTCTAGAACTATGGCTATCAATTTTATGTCTTAAAGGACAAGTAAAATAAACCAAATGCAAAAATAATTAGCACAAAACAAATAATTCTAAACCTAAAGTCTCATCATTTACC